AGAGCGTCCGGATATGTACCTTCCTCCTATTCCCTGCGGGATTTTTCATTCACAGTTGCCTCGTTTCGGGCAAGCTTGTCATTATCCGCGCAATATTTCGCGCTCAGCGATAAGGGCGCTCGAGAGATCATCGTATCGGCGTATCGATCGATCCCGATAAAATATCTGCCCTGCGGGAGCAGAAAGAGGTGGCGATACGTCGCTAGCGTCGAAGATCCTCGGCGAGTCTCGGTCTATCTCGATGCGAAGGAAAACGGGATAGGAAAAGAGGGAGACGAATGTCGGAAGGGAGGAAGAGGGGTCGTAGAATTGAAACTGAGAATTCTATTTCGCTCCCTCGGGAGCCGCAGGCGAGAAGATAGAGATAGCACTCCTGGGAGCATCGGATAATATAGGCGACAAGCAAGAGAGAAAGAGAGAGAGTAGTGTGCGTGGTATGCGAAGGGTTGTATTTCACATCGCGGTTGACATCGCGACGATTTATTCCACGTTGTATTTCTAGCTTCAATGAATTTAAATGCGTAAGCTTACAAGTCGCGGTATCTTAAAGCAATCCTAAATGTAGAATGAGCCTAAGTGTCTTATATAAATAAATATATTTTTTTTTAATTTATCCATCGGACCGAAGAGATCGCGATATTTTCTAATTAATTATATATATATCTATAAATAGAATCCGTGACTGTAATATTCACGGTAGATTTTCAACGGCTGCTCTCCTAAACGTATAATTTGTGTATAAGCCTCTTAAAATATAAATTACAACATGAGTATGTGCTTAAAGTTGAGCCGTCAACCTCCGAAGATTGTGAGATTATACAATTACGTATACGTGTATTAATTTTCATGATAAATTCTTGACGGCTGCAATGATCGTAAGCTGCTTACAATATAAATTATGAGATGAGCGCCTATTTTATTCTATTTTAAGACGGTCCGTCAGTTTGAGAAAAGATAAGATAAAAGACAAGTATATTATATCTGTTACATATGAGTGTAATACACCTGGAGAAAGATGAGAGAGTACATTAACATTAATAATTACAATCTTCTCTTGATTGACGCGTCAACTTTCTTGATCGCATCAAATCTTTTCGCGGGACATAGGAATCTCACACGAGCATTCAGGAGAGAAAGAGAGAGTGAACGATACACGCGATTATAACGTGCGTATATATGTGCGGAAACAATTACGCGAGAGCCGTCCGTCGTCCGCATTCCGTGAGGTCTTACAAACCCAATTAAGATCTCCCGTCGAGACGCGTCCGATACATACATACGAGGAGACGGCCCTTGTAATTTTCCGGTACAACGTGTTCGAGCTTCTTCACTTCGTGCTCGTTTATAGCGCATCGCGAGCTCTCTCTCTTACGAGCTTGGGCGTTCGTTTTCTTGGAACTTTCTTTCCGCCGTCATGGGAAACTATGTTCTTCAACTAGTTCGCTTTAAATTATCATTACCGTTATCATTAATGTTAATCATTAACGTCCCGCAAATTGAGACATCTCGGTTTCATCAATTGACGTACCGATTAAGTGACGTTTCTGAGATGATTAAAGCGGATAGATGTATTTATAAAAAAAAAATATAAAAAAAGAGACATTCTTAGTATCTCTGATAGATAGATAGATAGATATTCTTAGATTTAAGATTTAAAAAGAAAAGTTTAAATAGTTTAAGTAAAGTTACATACGTTGATTCTTTTTTTTCGGGTACTTAATAATGTGAGTTTATATAATGCGAGTTTATGAATATATAACATGATATTAACTATAATATTACTATAATATTATTGATATTAACTATGATATTAAATATAATAAAGTATAATAAAGTATAATAATTTAATGATGCTAAATTCTATTTATCTAAAAAATTCTCATTTTATTTTTCTCAAGAAATAATAATGTATAAAGTAGCTTGAATAAGAATTGAACAAAGATTCATTACTTTGACGTTTTCACATTTGTTCTTCCGAGAGGAAGATTGTTAAAACTATTACGGTCAACATCTTTATGCACATTTTAAATTTTATTTAAAATACATTTTTAATTTCTCTTCTCTCTCCAGTCACTTTCATAAAATGTACTCTCATATATTAGAATCTCCTTAATAGCACGATGCAAAACAGGTCGTGGCCTCGTGTCTCTTTAATCTAGAAATTGCTTCATCATGACGCTTTTTATCAAGTCTGTAAAATTGTATAATCAGAGCGAAAATAAAGAAAAGTGGGGAGAGATAAGGGAGAGAGGAAGAGGTAAATTTGCACGCTATTATATCTCATTCTTTGTATTATCGGAATTATAATTTTCTTAACGAAATAATCGCTGTCACTGACATTTAAATTTCCTCGTTTATGATATTAATTTATTTGACGTGGCTCGACCGACGAGAAAAATTTAATGTAATTACGGCAGGATTTATTATCCGGCACGAAAGAATCGAAGTCTTAATAATTCGACGCAGAGAAAATCGATATTTCTATTTAACCTACTCCGTCGTTCTCTTTTAAATTGTACACAAATCTTGAATTAAATGAGAGTTGACCTCAAGATCTATTTACATTTCTGGAATCTAATTTGCGAAATTCTTTCGATTTTTAATTGTAACTGAAAAATCA